AAGGCACTATAAGCACTGAAAGACCGGCCGCGTGGTTGTAGTTGATGAGCCCCAGGCGGAAACATCTGAGGTAGCGCGTGCGCAAATTTTGGATAAAAAGAAAAAGTAAAATTTTAGTAAAGGCATTTAAGAAGAAAAATTCTAGTCCACTGATGCGTTCCAAAACCGACAATCGTATGACAGTGCACATGTGTGCTGTAATAGACCACATAGATTATTCAAAATACTTTAGGTCTGTAGCCTGAGCAGCTTTATAACCCCACAACATGACTATAGTAATACAGGTATAAGAGCTCAGAGAAAAAAATAAAAGCACCTGTCAAATGACAGCCTCAGAGCCATGGTAGAAGCTGCAGCTTGGAATTTCGCCTCTGGGCTGGCAGCCAAATTACATAGAATCTCAATCAGGCGATCAACGCGAACGGGTCGACTTGAAAGGTGGCAGGTCAAGCAGAAAGCTTGACAGATCCATTTGCATACAGAGAAAAGCGTAGCCGAATCTTGCAAGATCCACTCAACTGAAACAAGTCTTGTGACCGTGTTAATAAGCATGAGATCGGACTCAGCTGGCTGTGCCCAATCTGCACTAAATCAAAAGTATGCAATATTACGGAGAATTACTTTTCATTGTGATCAGCTAGAACTTTTAACACCAAAGCGATAGTCTGTTTTGAATGTGGGTCTGAGAGGCATTTAAACAGGATATCCATGAATGGTGATGCACATTCTGAGCCGATAGCAGTTTCCACGGCAGATAAGGACAGTATCTTTAATGCAACAACGCACATTAATAGGAAGAATTAATAGGAAAGAAGACAGCCTATACACTAATTTAAAATGATAGTAACTAAACGAACCAACTAACAAAAGATTATAGGTACAACAAAACAAAAGTCTAAGCGAGAATGAACATCAAGATATGCTCATAAAAAATACTTCTTTTTAACATCTTTTCAATTAAATGCCGAAATATAGATTCGGTGGATGTTTTCTGCTCCCATTTACCATTCTTTTGAGTTATGAAACATGATGAATCCGTGGATTGAATTTCGAATTTCAGGGTAAAAGACGGAAGAAATGACAAATGAAAACCAATAGTTTTTATAAATCTAATCTGAATTATACATGTTTGTGGATCAGTGAAGTATAAAGGTACATCCGTGTATCGTGTACGCAGCAGTTCGAGGATCAGGAGCGAGCTGCATCACCATCATGCCCTAGTACCAATTTCCATCTATAAAGCTTCTAAAGACTGTATAATCCTAGGCGGCGCGATGTCTGTTTGAGGTCTTCTTAGGCCAGAAAATAAATTGTTTATTTGAGGGCCAAGGGGCTTTTTCAGTCTGCATTATTCCCCTGGCGACTCCGTCCTTGCGCTGCACAATCGCATTGAGTTAAGGCTGCGAATGTTTAACCATTACGGCTACGACCTTCCAGGTCCGGTTTCTTAGGAGAGAAGAAGTCTTGGGAAGTGCAGAGTGGTAGGAACAATATATTGTGTACACAAGAGTTAGGAGAATGTTGCCACTTTGTCTGACGGCGTTCGACTGTGAGGTCCATGTGAGATCGTGGTGTCGTCATAGCGGCCAACGACGCTGCCTAGGTCCATCCCACTCGGGACGGTATCCGAAGTGTCGTCTCATGGCAGTCAGCCGGGGCGGCCGCCGAATGCTCGCTTTGTCTTGGCAGACTGCTGGTAATTGTTTGCACCGCGCGAGGTTGGCTCAGTGTTGGCACAGGCGAGACTAGGCTTCATCGCGATAACTGGTGACCCCTTCCTCATGTCTGTTGAGGCGCACTTTTAACTCACGAAATTTCGAGACATTTGGCGAGTGCAGTCTACCATATGCTGGCAAATCAGATATAAAACCCGATCTCAATCGTGTTTATTTTCTCTCGCTTCAGTGCCATTGGAGGATTCTGCGTAAGATATTATGTGAGAAAGTAGTAATTACCGTCGACATACTCGTTTTCGCTGGCAGAGATGGTATCATAAGGTGGCTCGAACACTTCCGCTGCCTGGGGCTCCTAAGAAAAATAAAAGCGTTTGTTGTGAGGACTTACTATTGACTGAGAGGCTTCACCTCCCAGTAGGTAAATGACCTCATCTAATGCAGGCCTCTGTGGACGTTGAGAGAGACGTCTGCGATGCTCTTAGCCCATCTTGATAACAACAATCGCGCAGGAAGACAGGGGGTTATTTGACGAGATGCGTGGATCCGCATCGTGGATCATCGATGACCCACCTATCGCTGTGACCTTTTCTTCCCTGCAGTGTTCGTGAACCACTCACTATGGGGATTGTTCTTTGTAGGGTTAAGAGCACTGTTAGCAAATACGAAGAAATAGTAAGTCGCTTGCTAAAGGCTGTTCATTACTTCAACCAAAAAATAACTGTCCTCATGTGGAAAACCGACGTACTTACTAAATTTAGGAGGTGATGGGGCGACAGCAATCTATCACCAAGGTCTGCTTTAAACACCTTCAGAAGCGATGACTTCTTCGGGTAGGCAAACGATCAGACATTTTTACAACTTCAGTGAAAGCTTATCCTATGCAGCTGCCTTGACTGACAAATATAACCTTAATACATAGTCTTATTATCAAAGTTAATGCATGTATTGGCCGGTGTAAGGTCTGTGCAAAAGCTTTCTGTCAACAGCGCTTTGTACTGACGGTTACCTTCGTGTCCAACTACTATGGGTCCGCTGTTGTGCGGAGGAAGTACCTTAGCGTAAGGCGTCCTTAAGGGGCGGGTCCGCACCTCAGCCTCACTAATTCGTCTGGCAATTTGCTGTCGAGGTCGTGAAGGACTTCTAAGCGGTTTCTTAAACCTGCCTAGATAGCTCTTAAATGATTAAAAACTGTCTAAGGGCCCGTGACGTTCTACGTCGTCTGTAATGTGCATCATTCTGTACACATTGTAGACCATATTTTATTCAACAAAAATAAGACCAAACATAAGAGAAGACCATTTTAGCAACGACTTACACTAACCTACATTTCTAGTCTAAGTAACAGGAGAGGCCAGTAAACGTAAAGCGGTAAATAGCATTAGAAACGGCGTTGCGCATGTCTTAAGATAGCCACTCACAGACGTCAAATAGACGACTAGTGGCTACGAGGGAGGAAGAGGGTGCAAATAATTTGTTTACTAATATTGGAAAACATTAATTTGTTAAGAATTTTCGGAATAAAAACATTTGTGTCGGTCCAGGCTTCGCAAGCCACATCTACAGGGTGTCCCAGAAAAATTTACAGTTTACTCTCAGGAAATGTTATTTCATATAAGAATTTAGAACGAGGGGGTATGTCGGTGTTTTTGGAGTAATGTGCACGTTTGCATAACAAAACTGAAGCGGAAGCATTTCGAACTTTTTGGGAGCGCACCGTAATTGGTCGGTGAACGGTTACTGAGCGCTCTCCACAGCCTCTTTAGAAATTATTATTATGACACGGCAATCGTGAATGAGCCAATGGACCCCACATTTCCCTGTAAGTTGTTTAATTCGCAAAGCGGATCTTTGAGGTCAGCTTAATATTCGTGAAGTTTTTCAAATAGGGCTTAAAAGTAGGTTACTCCACCTAAATCCACACCTGGCGAATTAGTAAACTGTGAATATATCGCATTTCGCAAGGCGTGTAAACCATAGTTTAAATCAGTCGGACCTTGATCCTATTCCACGATCTCCTGAATTCTGTCTTCCCTGATATCCAGTTTACGATGGAGGCAAAAAACAACAACAACTGCAGTTCCTAGACGTTCTCCTCGATCGAAAACCCAATGGGCGCTTCAAAACGACGGTGTATAGGAAGGCCACCAATACGCGCCAAATCCGAAGCCACCATAGCAAACACCCGGCATGCCACAAACGCAGCTGTGTGCGAACGCTGTACAAACGGGCAGAAACACCTGCAGCGAGCCGCAGGACCGGAGGTTTGAATTACGATACATCCAGCGTCTCTTCCTGGCCAATGGGTATCCTCGAAATTTCATGGAACGCGGTAGACAGGTCCGATCGAATGGGGAGCCGGCAGCCGAGCAAGCGAAATTATGGCGTGCGCTACCATACATTGATGGCGTTTTGGAGGCAGTCTCCCGTCTATTAAGACCTCTGGAGATTGGCATCGCCCACCAACCAGAGGCAACAATACGACATCTCCTCATGCGACCGAAGGAACCCCTGCCCCAAGGTGAAACCGCAAACGTCGTCTACCGGGTCAAATGTGATTATTGCGCGGTTGACTATGTCGGAGGGACCGGTAAGCGGTTGCAGATCCGGATAGCAGAACACAGCAGGGCTGTAAATAGGATGGACCGACTTTCGTTGGTGGCGGAACACTGCGCAAATTCCGGACACACATTCGCCTTCAAGAATGCCGAAATTCTGGGTCTAGGAAAGTACCGCGTGGTCAGGGAAACAATCGGGGCCCGGCACACAGGGACAACCTCCATCAACCGTTGCGTGGCTCTTCCCACAGCCTACCAAGTCCTTCGAACGAAGCTCAATGAAAGAAAAAGTGAACGCGAAATTAGACGGAACGTGAATCCTGGCCCTCGCGAGTCCATGGTGGACACACACGTAACAGCACCACAATCGGAAGAGGTAAACATCAGCTTAGCCGCTGCATCCGCTAATTCTGCAGGTGGGAAAATAGATGAACGTGCGAACATAAACAGTATCACCGGCCTAGGACGGCAGCTTAGATCAATGAAAGCTGCACAGGCGCGAAC